AATAATAATAATTTAGATTTCATATATTGAACATAAACATGCTGATTAGGAAAATTAGATCTACTGTAATCTATAACATAATGTGACATAATGTAATTGTGTCTCATATCTGAGTCATTTCAGCTGGATGTGAAAATCTGACTCAACTTTCCAGTAAAAAAGAGCTTTGACTCGTCTAAAATATTAATTTTAGAGCATCATAAATGTGGATGGATGCTGGTTTTACTGGGAGGAGCTGGACTGGTTCCTGAACGGGAATCTGAGGCTTTCTCAGCAGAATCAAACAGACGGAAAACGGCCTCCTGACGGAGCCAGAGAAGGACGTTAATGGCTGGTGGGATGGATTAATCCCCGGGGGGAAACTCTGCGCTCCATCATTAGGCTGATGGAGGGTTTCTGGGAGATGGGCTGTAAAAACCGAGCCCGTTATTTACAGCTCAGCGTTTCCACCAGAGACGACTGAGGCACGAAGAAAGGGCCGTCTGTGGGTTTATCGCCAGGAATTAGCCCGAACCCATCGGTAAAAACACCAGGAATTAACCAGGAAATAGTCCGAGCCCATCAGTAAAAATACCAGGAATTAGCCCGGCCACATCGGTAAAACGACCAGGAATTAACTAGGAATTAGCCCGGCCCCATTGGTAAAACCACCAGGAAATAGCCCGAACCCAAAGGTAACAACACCAGGAATTAACCAGGAAATAGCCCGGCCCCATTGGTAAAAATACCAGGAATTAGCCCGGCCACATCGGTAAAAACACCAGGAAATAACCAGGAATTAGCCCGGCCACATCAGTAAAAATATCAGTAATAAACCAGGAATTACCCCTGGGTAAAAACTGTGAATATTATCAGATATGTGCAGATAAACGGGGCCTGACGGCTTCCTGTTCCAAATAAATGGGAATATATCAATTTCAACTCTGAATTTCTGCCTTTCTCCTCCAGACTTTACACCAGAAGCTGAAATAATCCCACAAATTCATTTGGGAATCAGATAAATTACTAAAACCAATAAAAATAAATCAGAATATCTGATATTTAAACTCAGATTTGCTGCTTTTCTCCTCCAGAGGCAGCTCTGGTTTCCACTAAATGAGCTCTGTGGAAACACGAGTTCGGGGGCTGAAACTCAGACATT